TTGCTCCCATTCCTTTGATGGTTTTTACTCTTCTCCCCCAACTATTTCTTTCTTTTTGGTATCCAGGATTGAACTCAGGTGCACTTGGCAATTGAGCCACACCCCTAGTACTATTTTTTATTTTATATAGAGACAGGGTCTCACTGAGTTGCTTAGTGCCTCACTTTTGTAGAGGCTGGCTTTGAACTTGCAATCCTCCTGCCTCAGCTTCCCCGAGCCACCACGCCCGGCTTTTCCCCTAACCTTAAAATGATGGAGTGCTCTGGGAAATTTACTGTCTTTAGTCCCCTTCTATTTTTAATGAACACTCTTGATAGTAGTAATTCCACGTCCAGTTTCCTGCTTTAAAATTTTGCAGTCATAAGGTTACATATATTATTTAAAGAGAACACACCCACACCCAGGAGACTGGAGATTGAAATTTTATTCATCAAGTTAAAGACACTTTTAAATCTCCAGCATAGCATTCCTTTAGAACAAATTTGTACATGCACTTCCTTACTCAACATTTCTAATAATCACTTTAAATCTGACATGTTCAAAACTGAATTTCTGATCCTCCTCAACAAACCCTACTCCTCTTGCAAATTTCCGCATCTTTTTTGTGTGTTTGTGCTGGGGTTGAATAAAGGGCCTCAAACATCAGAGGCAAGTGCTCTACTATCAAGCTACACTCCCAGTCTATGTCCCCAGCTCTTTGAGGGCACCTCAAACTCTAATTAAACTCCAGTTATGTAGGCCAAAACTCTTAAAATAGTGTTTGATTCTTCTCTTTCCCTCAAAGATTGCATCTAATGTATTAACAAACCCCACTGGCTAAACATTCAAATTATTTTCTGTCACCAGCTGGCCCAGCTAGCAACAACAAAAAACCATACAAACACAGAAATACCTTTTTCAGGGCTCAGGGACAGCTTTGATGCCTCAGATGTCAGCTCCCAAGCTGGAATTCAAGGGGAGAAACGGAGGCAGGAGGCAAGAGGTAAGAGGCAAGAGAGAGAGCACACCCTAACCCCCACACTATTTATTTAGGAAAAAGACATTCGATAGAAAGTTCCATCCAAATAAGGCAAGGGACTGGGTTTCGAAGAGTGAAATCTTGCTTGGTGATGTCTTGTGGTCAGCAGATTGACTGACATGTTGGAAAGCCACACCCGTCTCAGGTGCTATGTGGGATCACAGGCAGAGCTAGAGGAAAGGCACACATATGTCGCATAGCCTAATCAGACAGTAATGTCAGGCCAGGCCCCTTATACGCTCAAATGTGCATAGCTTACATACACAGCCCATGGATGGCTCCTGACAATTTTCAAAGTCTAAATACTTCTCACTGCCTCCATTACTATTACCTTAGTCTGAGTTACCATCATTTCTTACCTGACTTAATGCAATAATCTCTAACTTCCTACTTCTATTTGCTCCCTCACAGCAGTCAGGAGACTTTAAAAATGAAGCTAAGTAAGATAATTTTACTCCTTTGCTCTAAAATATTTAGGTGGCCCTTCCACCCCTATTACTAAAATAAGTCAAAGAATTTACAATGATTCAGAAAGTTCTGTTTCACCATTCTTTCCTCTAACTTCACTTCTTACTCACCCTAGTTCACTCTTTATTATAGTCACTCCAGGGTTGCTTGCTATTCCTACAATGCATCAAGACATGCTCATCATAGGGCAATGCCTATTTCCTCTGCTTGCAAAGCTCTTCCCCCATGATTAATTCCACCACATACATCAAATCTTTAATCAAAAGTCAACTCAAAGCTGAGTGCAGTGTACACGCCTGTAATCTCAGCAACTCGAAAGGCTAAGGCAGGAAGATTGTGAGTGCAAAGCCAGCCTCAACAAAAGTGAGGTGCTAAACAACTCAGTGAGACTCTATCTCTAAATAAAATACAAAACAGGGCAGGAGATGTGGCTCAGTGGTCAAATGCCCCAAGTTCAATCCTTGATAACCCCCCCCAACAGTCAACTCAACCAGGAAAACAGGAACTACCTTATTTAAATTGCAACCCAGCTCTTGTTCTATTGTTTCCAGGACCCCTGATCCTACTCTTTTTTATAGCAATATAATTTTTATATTACTTATATACAATATAATAATTCACTTGTTTATATTTATCATCTGCCTTCTCCATTCCTTGTTCCATTAGTATATAAGAACCACAGGACAGGAGGGTGGCACATATCTTTAATTTAAGTGACTCAGCATGCTGAGGCAGGAGGATCACAAGTTCAAGACCAGCCTTGGCAACTTAAGGACTCTGTCTTGAAATAAAAATTAAAAGGGCTAGGGATATAACTGAGTGGTAAAGTACCCCTGGGTTCAAGTCCCAGTGCCAAAACAAAACAACAACAACAACAAAAAAAAAAAACCCACTAGGACCAACCTATTTGTTCACTGATCCGTCCTGGTACAGAGAATTGTATCTTGAACAGGTAAGTGCACAAGAAATAATTATAATATACCCTTAAGAGTCAACTAAAAGAAAAAGGTTCTTCTGAAAGCAAATGAACTTGTGAGAATTTAACCAATTTTTTTTTTAAAGAGAAAGAGAGAGAGAGAGAGAGAGAATTTTTTAAAAAAATATTTATTGTTTAGTTTTCGGCAGATACAACACCTTTATTTTATTTGTATGTGGTGCTGAGGATCGAACCCAGCGCTACACACATGCCAGCCAAACGCGCTACCGCTAGACCCACATCCCCAGGCCTCAATTTTTTTAATCAAAATAAACCATCACTATGATTTGGGTTACTTACTCATGTTTTCCTTATTTCTACATTTGTACCCCAATGAATGAAGCAGTTAACGTATTATGCTGCTATATGTCAAGCTCTATTTTATGAACTGTAGGCATTCCTTGAATAATGCTGATCTTCCAGTAAAACAAGATAAAATACTTAAAGCACAACTTGGCAAATATAACTTCACAAACAGTTTAAAAATTTTCCTACGCTCAAAAAATATGCAATAATAATTTTGCCATTAAGGAGAAGAGTTCTACAATTAAAATATGAATGTATCAAAACTAATGTTTACAAGTAAAACTTACATCAAACATTCAAAGTTTTGTTCGACAGCATTCTGCCAACTGAGCTATATCCTCAGCCCCTGAATATTTCTAACGATAAAAAAAACTATGGGAGGGCGGAGCACAGTGGTGTACACCATTAATTCCAATGACTCCAGAGGCTGAGGGAGGAGAATATTAAGTTCAAGCCCAGCCTCAGCAATTTAGCCAGACCCTGTATCCAAATAAAAAAATATATAGTTGTGGGGGCTAGGGCTGTAGCTCAGCACTAAAGTGCTTGCCTCAAAGTGTGAGGCATGGGTTCGATCCTCACCACCACATAAAAATAAATATACTGTGTCCATCTACAACTAAATAAATATTAAAAAAATAGATAGATAAATAGATAGTTGGGGATGTAAGTCCGTAGTAGAGAGCCCTTGGATTCAATCTCCAGTAACTCAAAAATAAATAAATAATAAAGGAAAATTCAGCTATTTAAAAAGACTGCTTTCACTTAGCTAACATGCTCTTCCAGAATCATAAGAAATTAAGATTCCATAATAGCGATGGGGGGAACTTTAGATAGGGCAAAGGGGAGGGAGGAGAAGGGAGGGAGCAAGGGGGTAAGAATGAAGTTGGAATGATTAGACATCATTACCTTAATTACAAGTCTGAAGATATGATCAGTGACTTGAAAAATTGTGCTCTATGTGTAATATGAAATGAATTGCATTCTGCCATCATATATAATAAATTAGAATAAATAAATAATTTAACAAAACACACGCACACACACACACACAAAGAAAGAAAATTAAGATTCATACGATTAAAGATGCAAAGGACTCTGGAAAGTGGTAATATTTACTTTGATCCTGTGCAAAGACCAGGATTTCCAATAACAAAGTTTGACCTACCACGGCTTAAATTATGACTTAAATAGTAATATGTCCTACAAGGCCGGCGCAGTTACTTATTACTAAGCAAAAAACCTGAAAATCTGGGCTGGGGATATAGCTCCGTTGGTAGGGTGCCTGCTTTGCACACACAAGGCCCTGGGTTCAATCTCCAGCACCGCAAAAACAAACAAACAAAACCTTGAAACTTAAAAGTGACTTAAGAATTAAAGCATTTCAATTTCATTAATGCAAATATAAGCGAGTACTCCCATTCATGGTTGTTATATAGTGTTTGTTTTGGTTTAGGAAACATGCCAGTGATTATAAAAATAAAAAAATTAAAAAAAAAAAACCTTCTCCAAAACAAGGAATACCTTCCCCCAAAATTTAAATAATCCACAAGGATGTGCAAGGCTAACAGGTTTTCGTTATTTGTCTGAAATTTAGCTTCAGGTCAAATGACAACTTTTTCAGTTCGTGCCATCACTGCTAACCCAAAATACTTTATCGTGTAGTCAAGCCCAAAATACTGTAAAAAAATTTCTAATGACAGTCTGAAAAAGTACCTAGAGAAGTGATCTTAAAACAGGCATCAGCCACCACAGATCTTATCATCTGACTGGATGCAAAGTTTTAAACGGAGTTTCTAAACTTTTACCATTTTTAGTGGACTGTACAATATTTCTGGGACGCAGCACACACTGAAGTTCGTTCTTAATTGTCTGACTGTTATAGGTCACTTAAAATTCTTACTTTGTGTCTTAGTCTACCTGAACGTACGGGCAAACTCCCTCACCCACCCACATTTCACCCAACTCAGAAAATACTATTTAGTAACAGGGTTTTCTTATCGAAGACATAAGGAAGTGCCCTGCAAGAACGGGCATGCTTGAGAAGACAGCACTTCTTCGGGAAGGAAAGGCGGTCACCATCCAGCCCATGACAAGGACCTGGGTCAGGGCTACAGGACGCAGAAAACAGATACCCGGCAGCAGGTGAGAATTACTGGCACTGGGACAGTCGCCGCAAGCTGAGGAACGCCGTCAGTTGAACTGCGGAAGCGCGCCAGGATCAAACGGCCTTACCTCGGGGGTCCGTTCGGGCGGCTTCTTCTTCAGCGCTTGCCTAGCGCAGGGGTCCACCGGTGAGTTCATGGCAGCAGCCCAGATGCTCCTCACCCCACCCCTAGCAGCCCACAGGACAGCCCATTCACCTCACGTAGGGGTGCGCCCTCCCTACAGGGAGGGAACTCCGCACCGTCGTAGGGTCCGAGCTCAAGCAAACAAACCTTCGCAGTGCCCGCCCAGGGCCTCAGCCCACGCGCGACTGGCCAGAAAGAAGCCCGCGCGGGGGCAAGGGGAGGCAAGTACGCATGCGCATCACGTGCACGCACGCTAACCAGAGCCTTAAGGGTGACGTAATAACTGGGGCGGTGCGGTTAAACCTTTTCCAGCCCTCCGTGAGATTTAATGACTCGTCGCGAGATCTCACTTAAACCGATCAGGGGATCCGCCTCACAGTTGTGGTTTTGGCCACTCTAGCTTCCGGAGTAGGGCCGGAAACGCACTCACAGGGTCTAAGCGAAAACAGCCTGTTGGGCGGAACTCTGGGGAAGGCGTCTGGAGGGAGACGTTTGTATCCAAATCCGGAAGCTAGGCGGAGCTCCTTCTCTGCAACTGTGACGCCCGGCCCTTGGAGAAAGTACGGAAGTCGAAGCCGCCATTCGCCAAGCAAGGAAATCCACGCATACCACTCCCTGTGTTTCTTTCAATATAACAATCTTTTGTGAAAGCTGTCCACAAAAAAGTGCTTGTTCTTCTCAAGACAAGTATTTTAACACCAGAAAAAAGCAGAAAAAGCAAAGCTTTTTGACATTGGAGAGGGGCGAGTGTCCATGGTGCTGGGTGCCAGCTTATAATCGCCGTTTTGCAAAGCCAGGTGTAAACCGCATTCACCCAATGCCCAGAACCGGCCTCCCTCCACCCATCTCCTCTCTCAGGTAGGTGGGCGTAGGAATGCCTGGACTTAGAGTGGACGCTTTTGCGCTTTTACATTGCGTCTGCTTCCTAGCAAGCTGGATAAAGCCCATTTCGATTTACTTGTCCTTTGGTAAGCAAAACATCACTTCGGGGCAATCAGACATCAGCAAAGGCTATTTAAACAATAAAAGTTAGCTCAAAATTCCAGAATCCTTCATTTTAGAACAATGCTTTGTACCATTTCTCATTAATGCGAAGATGGGCCGCATTAGTCACAAGGTTCCTCACTTGGGCAACACCACGGACTGTCTTTTACATAACTGAAATTTAAGGTCCTTGAAGGCTTTGGCCTCATTTAGATACATCTTAATATACTTCACTAAATTGATTTAAGATTATGACGTGATTTTCATGTGTTTAATGACATGGTGAAAGTTAACATTTATTTTAGAGTAAAAAAACGGAAAAGAAAAGTTCAGGCTACAATATTTCATAGTGCCATACTCTGCACTGGTCCTGGGACTTGCTCAAACTTGAAGACTACTAACAAGTCTCTTTCGCCCTAATTTTGAGAAAAGACACCAAAGTAGATGTGGCTCAGCCATTACAGAAATAATAGTGGAAAAATCACAAAACAGTAGGCAAACCATCCCTCCCCCACATCATACACACACACACACACACACACACACACGTACATACTCAAAGGTCTGCTCAACGTCAGACAAAAGATTATCCCTTCTATTCTCCAAGGATCAATTTCCAGTGTCATCAGTATCCTTAAAGAGGGGAAAGGAATCAAAAACATGGATTATCATTAACTTGGATTTTAGGGGCAAACAGACCTGAATTTGTGACTTTTAAAACACCACTTCTACTTAGGTGACTTTTTTTTTTTTTTTTTGTTTTGTGATACTGGGGATTGAACCCAGGGTATCAGTGTGTGCTAGGTAAACATTATACAACTGAGCCACACCTGCAACCTTGAAACTATCTTTGAACTTCAGTTTCTTCAGTTATAAAATGGGAATAGTAAAGGACTTATAGCTTCAGGATTTAAGATTACAGATGAAAATTCATTTAAACACTTACTATGTTGCCTGCACAATTCAAACATTCTTCATTATTTTCACTTTACCTCTAGGAAATGATTTCTCTAAAGTAGAAACTCAAGTTTGAAGAAATGGATAGTTTAATGTGTTTGTTCATTTCTATTCAGAAACATGAAATGTAGAACAAGAGGAATTCTTGGAAAAACATTTTTGGCAGGGGGGAAAAGTATCTTATAAAGCTGAAACTTAACACTCCATGACAGCAAGTCCACTCCTTTATAAATGTTTTAAAGAATACCTATGTACACCAAAAAAGATGGACAAAAATGCTCATAGTTGCCAAAACAAAGAAATAAGTCAAATATCAGAATGGTATACTCATTCAGTGCAATATCAGCTGCATTGCACATGGGCGAATCTCCTAACAATGTTGAGGGGGAAAACAAAAACAAAATAAGGAGTATGAATACACTCAGTGTTCAAACACAAGTATTAGTTATGGATACATACACAAAGACAAAACTAAAGAAAAAAACAAGGACACATTCACAAAAAGTCATGTTGATAGTTACAAAAATGAGAAATTATGATCAAGATAGGGTGTATATGGCCGTGCCAGGTGGGCACACGCCTGTAATCTCAGCAGGTTGGAAGGTTGAGGCAAGAGATTGTGAGTTCAAAGCCAGCCTCAGCAAAAGCAAGGCCTTAAGTGAGCCACTCAGTGAGACACTGTCTCTAAATAAAAAACAAAATAGAGCTGGGGATGTGGCTCAGTAGTTGAGTGTCCTGGAGTTCAATCCCTGGTAAATTCCCCCCCACACACCATAAAGAGACAAGGTACAGGTAGGAGGGAGCTTCTATATTGCTGAAAACAATCTACTTTTTGACATGGGTAATTGTTACATGAGTGTATATTCACTTTTCAGTATGCCATAAGAGAAAATGAATTAGTACACAAAAATAACTTGTTTTATTAGACTTTTTTGTGACAGCAATAATAGTTATCCACAATGACAATCTGGTATGCTGCTGGTGTGTCCCTAAAAAGTTTCATGTGTTGGAAGCATGAACCCAGTGTGTTGATGGATGGAAACTTTACTAGACAGAACCCAATGTGAGGAAATTATATCACTTGGACATTGCCCCCAGAAGGGACCCCAGTAATTCCCAAGAGGGGTTGCTGTAAGAACCTTGCCTAATCAGGCCCCATGCTATTTTTAATACCAGCTTCCAGAACTATGTCTGTACATATTATACAGCTTCAGGTATTTTGTTGTGGCAATTAAAAATTGTCTAATAATGCTGTCCATTATCTAAAAATGGGCACATATTCAAAATCTATCTTGGCCTTAACCAACTTGTATAAGGTAACCTCCAGGACAGGATTTGCCAGCACTAACTGTATGTAAGGTGAAAATATAATGATGTGAATGCAAGTAATTTATTAAATTGTGGGAAAATAACATGGTTAGGTTTTTTAAAAAATTAGCTTAACTCTCTACCTCATTTTTTTTCATGGTACTTATACTACCTGATTTGTCTTTTGCACCAGAGGGGAAAATGTAAACTCCATGAGAATAGAAAAGAATGTTTGTATTTTTTATTGACATATCCCTGGCACCCAAATCTATCCCTACCTAGCACATAACTGGTGCTCAATAATTATTTGCTGAATGAAAAAAAAAATAGAACTAAATACTAAGAAGGAATTTTGCTATTGGCAAAATAGGCTTTTGAAACTGGGCATAATGGCACATACCTGTAAAAAATAACAACAGGAAGTAGTAGTAGTAATTGTAGTAGTAGTAAAGGCAAGGCAAAGTAAAGCACTTGATTGTTTTACAGTGGTAAAGAGAGAAATTTGGCTAGATCTATTGCACATACCAAACTGAAAGCCACTGAGCAGATGTATATGACCACCTTTCCAATTAACTGTAAATCAACAACAAAAAATGGGAGTAAAAAGCTCTGGTTTTAGTAGCACTTGGAATAAGGTAAGGAATTGAGGCATGAGTATGCTGAATATTGAGTTACCATAGAACTTCTGGTTCAGATCCAGAATGTTATCAATGAGTCACAATCTCTGAAGGCAGGATTTAGAAATTAAAATTGTTTTGTGTATGTAGTACTGGGGATTGCATCCAAGGGTGTTCTACTACTGGGTCAAATCCCAGCCCCTTTTTGAAAATAATTTTGAGACAAGAGTTCCCTAAGTTGCTCAGGCTGTCCTCAAAATTGGGATCCTCAAACTTATGTTTAACATGATTCTAGAGTAGCTGGGATTAAAGGTGTGTGCCACTGAACCAACCCAGATAGGAATTAACGTTTTTCGAAACCATTTACACATCTTGAGACCCTGGGTTGGATCTCCAGCACAGCCAAAACGTGTGTGTGTGTGTGTGTGTGTTTCAAAAGCCAGGTGTTTGCTGGGCACAATGGTTCACACCTGTAATCCCAGTGGCTCAGGAGGCCAAGGCAGAAAGATTTCAAGTTCAAAGGTAGTCTCAGAAACTTAGTGAGGCCCTAAGCAACTCAGCAAGACCCTGTCTCTAAATAAAATATTAAAAAGGAACGGGGATGGGACTCAGTGGTTAAGCACCTCTGGGTTCAATTCCTGGTACCAAAGGGGGGGAAAAAAAAAGCCAGGTGTTTCTAATATACTCTAAGGTTTGAGAATCTCTTAAACTCAGGTTTTAGACTAGCATTTCACCCATTTCAACTATAGTTCCTATACTTGAGACAGACTCAATGTGTTGTAAAAGGGTGGTACCATGTTGAGAGCCACAGCCAAAGGGGCCCCAGCAAACTTCGAGCTGCCAGCAAACTTCCAGCTGCTGGCTGATGATTGGCTCACAGCGGCCCCAGCAACATCTAGCTGATTGGCTCCTCGGCCCCAGCAACATCTAGCTGATTGGCTCCTCTGCGGTGATGCTCATTGGACTGTTTCCCTGCCCTTTCAGACCACGGAGCTGCTCATTGGGGGACTTTTTTGGCTCCGCCCACGTGACCCAGCCAATCGGCCTCAAGAGCAGGAGGATTGTGGGAGGTGTGGAGAAGCTTGTGTGGGAGAGAGAGGCTTGGGGAAAGCCGGTGGTGGCAGTTGAGGCTCTGAGGGTTTTTCCTGAGAGACTATTTTGTTTGTCGTGTGTGGTTCTAAAAATAAAGTTAGTTTCTTTTGACAAGTGGCTCCTGATTGTGCCCAGCCAGACTGCGGCATTTGGTGGCTCGCACGGGGAGCGACTGAGGGTAAGTGAAACTGCTCGACCCTGAGGGCAGGGCGAGAGGATGGGTAGCCATTTTAAGATTCCTCTTTTATTTTGCTTCACTTTTGTTTTAAGTTGC